TCTAAGTGAAATTTACTAGAAAGAGCACGGAAGGGATACATTATACCTATTTAGATGGTATCTGTGTTAGCTAAGAATCTTTGCAGGAGCAGGATTTTACATGAGCTGGAACTCACAACTACAGCTACAGGCAAGGTTGCTGGAGGGTGATGTTTAAGCAGTGCAATCCTGCCAGCTGCTGCTTCTGTTCTTGCTCTCCCCTTGTCTTTATCCTCAAGAGGAGGGAGATTTTAGTCCTTCTGTGGTAGGTCCAGGCCCTATGCTTGACTAAGAGACAATACCCGGCAACCTACCTTCCCGTTTTTCCCAAACACCCTACAAACAAATGCTGCTGCGTTTGTCATGAAGTTATTAGCCATAAAGCTGAAGCTTTTGGTCTGATATGCATTGCTACTGGATTTGCCAGTAATGCATTGAACTCCTTTGCATATCTTACAATAACTTGCTGAAATATCTTGCAGACCATGGTACCGTGACCTCAGAGCACCCCAGACGGTGCAAGAGCCAGAACAAACTGAACCCCCCTTCACGAAGAGTCAACACTGCCGCCCCATCGAAGGATGCTGCTCTCATATCTAGTGCTGGTTGCTCCAAACAGCCTGCTATGAGCCGATCCTTCTCATAGAGAGCGTGAAGTGCTACCACCTCCTCTGCTTTTGCAGGTACATCCCTAATCCTGAATAAGAACGCAGACACCCACACCTCTTTCAAGCACGGCTTTGCAGTTCTGCTGTTACAGGCTGGGTGCGGGGAGGAAGCTGTTGCTTCCAGAACAGCACAGGAATGCTAACTGTCTGGCTACCAGCTACACAGCAGCAGGATTAGGACTAGCTCAGATCTGAGCAGCATGAGACAGAGCAAGGGAGAGAGAGACTTTGCAAGGAAAAAAAAAGCTGCTTTTTGACTTGAGAGCTTTCCAGGTTTCAGGGGAGTTCCTGGTTTGTAAGGCATTGCACGCTCCTACTGTAAGTATGTAACGGGAGGCCAGACCAGCCTGAACCAGGGCAGAAATACTGCAGTGAAACAAAGATATAATGGCTTTAGGGACGGCGCTGCTTTCTTTCAGTGGGAATTCTGATGTGTCTGAAGTTGCTCAGGGGAACAGTGTGTTTTCTGAATGTGGGCTAATGTTATTTGCTCAAATTCCTGAGCATCCTGTTCCAAACAGCTCGCTTACACGTGAGGACTGGGATTCTGATATTAAATACATATCAAATGAATAAAACGTCTAAAGCCAAAGAGCAATTTATTCTGCATGCGTTGTTGTAACTGCTCTTCATAACATAACACGTGCTTTAACAGTGCATTATGGACTGCAATATTTTGGGAAACTAAAACATTCTTTAAAACTGTTTACTTAAAAGGCTATTACATCTGATTAATAAAAAGTGCAAACTGAAAATATTTTTCAAGCTCTTTAGTAATTCCTATCTCAGATAATGCTTACGCTCACCATTCTTCTACTCAGTAAGATAACGTCTGACACTTTCTTCATAGAATCCACTGCATTGAAAGATACAGCACATTCCTAATCTGAAATGAAATGATCTCTTGCTAAAAGAACTCCATAGTATTTTGCATAAGACTGAGTGAAGAGACATCTTAACTCTAAGTTCCCTGACATTTTATGTTTTAATTAAAAGCACTAGAAGTACTTTCCAGGCCCAGAGTGAAGAGGAATTAGATGTGTCTAACTTTTCTGGGCCTGTGTGGTCCAGACACTGAGTTGAAACTATCACTTCTGAGAACGAAATGTAAATACACTGAAGTGTGTTAAGCATATTTATCATTTGAATCTATTCACAAAATTGAGCATGTGGAACTTACATGGTTTATTCTTGAAATAGGTATTTTTCCCAATTGCAAGATGTGAAAACTACTTCCCTATCTAATCCGATTCAATGCATCTGTATGTGATTATATAAACATGTTTCAGACTGGAAGGCAGTGTGGCCAAGTCTAATAGAAGTTATATTCATTAAATTTCATCGGACCACATGATCTTCCCTGAGCCTTAAATATCTGTCTATTCCTAAGACTTACAGAAGATTCTCTATGTTTTATAGTTAGAGCAAGTATAAAGGACTGAGATTCTGATCATATAAGCCCTGAATAAATAACAAGTCACTGTTTCAGGACTGATCAACTACTATAAGAAGTCAAAGCAATTAAAAAACCATTGCTGCTTTAATCACAGCAGTTCAGCACAGCTGGGATAAGAAATGCTTTTCTCAATATATGCCATTGTTTTGCCTTCATATAGCTCCATCTCGGGCATAGAACAGCCTTTCCCCACAAGCATATCTAGCACTGCTGTTTTCCCTCAAGGGTCAGCAGTTAGATTCACTCCCCAGAAGGTCCTCACCAGCAAACCTGAGTAACCATCCCATGCAAGTCATTGCTTTTATGGAGGCTAAGCAGGGCCAATTCCCAATTCATAGATACAGCAGCTGTTCCCACAAAGCATCTGCATACCTTCACAGTCCTAAAATCACTCTCCTGCCCGGTCAGGGTAGTAGTTCTCTCCATGGCAGATGTGAGTTCTGTTAGCTTAGCCTTTGCATGAAGTTTTGACTATTTTTTATGTTAACCTTGATTGTTACAGTGGTATCTGGGTGGCTGGCCGAGCACAGGACAGCAATCGTGGACGTGTGCGGGTGGTTCCTCTCCCAAAAAGCGGAGTAAAATCATCTTTATAATGAAGTTATTTATGGGAAAAAAAATATTGCTACAGCATTGGATGGGCCATTTTTAGATTAAACACTTTTGAAACAGTGGGTCCTACAAAAGATGCCAAGTCTTCTCCAAGGGGAGGATGCATATGCAATTTAAGCATACAGTCTTAAGTGCACACTTATTGTCCAGACTGGATGCAGCCTGTGCATAGATGGGAAGCTATCAAGGCATGTTATGGTGCTTAGTGCACAGACACTAAACCAGATATCACAGCTTATAACAGAACATCCTTCTTATCCTCCTCTGCAAACACTTGGCAAGCCTGCTTTGAACACAGACAGAAGATGAAATGAAGCATTTCTGCCACATAAGTGGCCTGCTGAATACTTAACAAGACTTTTCAGCACATTGAATCCCAAGCTCTGTGCTGAAGTGCAGCACTGAGTACAGTAACAAGATCCAGGGTTCCACTAAACACCTGTCTTCTTGTAATACATACAAATACATACACATATATTGTCGATACATAAGCAGTGTTTGTCTGCTTAAAAGGAAAGACCTAATAACCAGCTGTGATAGTAGGAGATCTGCTCACACTGATGTCAAAAGCCTTTTGAGTAACAATACTTGTGATATAGCAGGTAACATCAATAGCTATTGAAGCCAGTGTTGGGACTGTGTCGATGGTGCCCTGACATAGAGTTGACTTCAGGAGACCTACGTCTGCCAATTTCTGTTTCCTCAGGAAACACAAGAAAAAGCAGTTTTAATGGGCCTGGTCTTTCACTATAGATCTTTGTACTGCTGGAGGCATTACTGTCACATATAGTTGTAGGTAAACTGCTCTAGAATCTGTCTTCCGAAGTGCAAAAACTTCTAAATGTTACTTTTTCAGCCACTAAATGCTAAGTGCTTCGCAGCATACACTGTCTTTTCATGAGATGCATGCACATGCAGTTGTGGCCTCTAGATGCTACTGCAATCCAACTAAATCAGATCTTATTTGACAAGAAAAGCTTTCTGTCCAAAAAAAAAAAAAAAAGGAGAAGAAGAAGAAGAAGAAGCAACCAAGGCACTGTCATTTGAACCTGTTTAAGTATCGTAAAACAACTCCTCTAATACTGGGAAAGTACCCACGGTGCAACCCTGTCCCTTTTCAATCATCTTGGCTTGCTGAGCCTGTGGACTGATTCTTCTTTTATTCTGGGGGTTCCCAAACTTGTTGCTGTTGACACTGACGGCCGGTCCAAACACTTTGGCAGGAAGAGAAATGTCCTTGGTCCAGAAACATCCGCACCTCGCTTTAAAGTAGCCTTTGCTACACCAACACCTGAAAGCCCTTATTCCAGACAGTTCTGAGGGACGGGCACGCTGCGCTTTGAAGCGCGGCCGCCGGCTAAACCCAGGAGCTAAGAGAAACGTTTGGGAGGCAAAGATCCCTCAACCCGCCCTGGCCGTGGCTTTCCCTCCGTCACCTGCCTTGCTCCGCAG